CGTTGGATGCATTCTAGATAAGGGAATAAAACCCTTTGCATGCAAGACGCCAAAGTATGCTTTCAATGAAGCATGACCCCCACGTCCCTCCCCCCGCCTTTACACGAATTTTCGCTTCGTTTCGCATTCCTCAAAAGTCTACTGCTTCGCGAGTAATTTTCGCCGGGTGCTCTTCTTGGCGGATCCCATCAGCTGCAGCTCATAGCTGAGGTACTCCCCCTGGACAAACTTCACCGTCGCGAGGGGGGCGATATCCACGGCATGCCAGACCCCATCCCCCCCTTGATCCACCTCCACCCTAGTCGTCCCCAGTGCACTCAACCGCACCCCCCCACGAAAGCGCACCCGGACTTTCAAAACCAACCGCTTCGTATCGCTGTAGAACCCCCACCGCTTTCGCTTCGTATCCACCAAACGAAAAAGCTCCCCCCCTTCAGGGTCCTCCGCCTTCCACGCGCTAAAGACCTGATCGTAGCGCATCAGCCGGGGGTTGGGGCCGCCGTAGCGAAAGGCCACCGTCCCGGCCGCCGCCGCGGGCATCGCGACCTCGGCGACGCAATCGAGCTCGAAACTCGCGGGCAACCCATCCAGCAATTTTCGCGTCTCCAACGGAGGAATCACGAGGGTGAGTTGGGTGGCGCCGGGCAGGGAAGGGTCCGCCGCGAGGAGGGCCTCCGGCCCGGCCACGACGCTCTCCTCCGGCCGCAGCCGCAGCGTCACGCGCATGACGGTGCCGGGGGTGTCGTTGTAAAACGCCCAACTCCGCCGCACGCGGTCGACCAGGCGAAAGAGCAAGCCATTCCCACGGGTGGGAAAGCACCGAAAGACGTCGGCGCCGCGGCCGGAAACGGCCTCGTCGGGGCCGCCATTTTCATAGACGAACTCCCCTGGCAGCAGCGGCCGCTCCGCCTCGGCGGGCTCCGCGGTGAAACGAAGCCGGAAGGAGGCGGGATCCCCCTTGAGGAAGGGCGCGGTCACGCCGGGTTTCACGGAAAGACGAAAAATCACCCCCCGTGGGTTGTGCTCGGGGACGCCGAGCGTCTCCGTCTCCCCAAGCGGGCTCACCGCTTCGCCGTCGTCGAACTCCACCGTCGCCGTCATCAAACTCTCCTTGGTGTCGTTGTGGAAGTACCAGGTCTTGTTGGGGCTGTCGACGAGGCGAAAAAAAAGCCCGTTATCGTTTTCCTTGAAACATTTGTAGGCCTTGTCGAAGCGACAGCGGGGTTTTTGCTTAAATTGAAGATCCTTCTCCGGGACGGGGGCGCACTCAAACACGAATTCGAGCTCGAAGCCTTTGGGCTCACCTTCAATGAAATAGGCGGTGCTGCATGGCTTCACCTCTGCTTCTATAATCGTCTCCTGGCCTTCGTTGGTTTGCCGCGTGGACATATGGGCATCCCGTAGCACTCGAACCTCACTTCCCGGCATCATAACGGCCCGCACCTTTGCCAGCATATCGGTCGCATCGTTGTAGAAGTACCAACGTTTTCGAACATTATCCACCAGTCGGAATAGGGACCCGTTAACACGGCCCGGAGAGCACGCGTAGAATTCGTCATAGCTACAGGAAGGGGTGCCATTAACAAAGTTGCCCTTCGGCGTTGAATCTGAAATATCCATTTTGCAATGATAATTGGACAGACCTTTTTTATTTTCACCTATACTAAAATATACCTAGGGCTGACCTAGAGAAAAATCGAAACGAACATGGCAAACAGAGGGGAGGGGAGGGGGAATAAATGGTAAGAAAAAGAGGTTGCTGCAAGAGAAGACTATCAAAACAGTTCCTAGCGCTACAGTCACACTGAGCAGCATGTCAGTTTGTTTCAGAAAACGATTTTAGCTATCCCTTTACTTTCGTCTTTCGAAAGAAGAAATTATGCATGAATAACAGAGATAGAGACATAAACTAGTCGAGATCCTTGAAGTTCCACCGAGTCAACTCGTTCATGAACTCTACTTTAGAAGCTTCTGAACGAACTAACTTCTCATCAATATACCACTCTTGCTGCTCTAACGGCGAGAAAGCTAGCTTCTGCAATTTAGAACTCCGTTTCGTGCGTAGCTCCTCACTAAAAACGCTTCGAAACCGATCCACGGCCTTTGATAACCTCTTGTTGGGGTCATTACTCATCGGCGATGAAGTGAGCATGCCAACACCGGAGTTGATGGATTTCATCTCCTCCGGCTCACGCCGAATTTCTGGGGCGTGTCCAATCGCGAGAAAGTTGAGGTTTTGCGTTCCCGAGCGGTCATAAAAGTCGTTTTCAAGGTAGCTGTACGACGGCACTAAGTCTGTCCAGTGGTATTTACTACCAGGGAAGCTCTTGGGTTTGTATTCCAGGTACTCGAAGCTATCCTCCCATCGCACCCCACCGGCCTCCTCCTTATCGTGAAAAGACGAATGCGAAGAGTTCGGGTGGGCAAGACCCGACCCTCCCACCTCATGAGAGACCCGCCCACAAGAAGTGGCGCAGTTTCGCTTCAGAGGAAGGGAATCCTCTGAACGCGAGCTCATCCCCGGTCGTGCCGCCCGCACGACCTTTTTTAAAACCAACAAATCCACCCATCGCGACTGTTGAAGCCACTCCCCAAGACGATACTCCACCCCCTTCCCCTGCGCTGGCGACTCCCCTAACAGCCCTTCCAAGGCATGCCGTACCAAAGGAGGGATAGTCAAGCTCGGGTTCAGAGCCTTCCCACCGCGCTCCCCCCCTCCCCCTCCCCCTCCACATCGCCGACGGAGGACGACCTCATACACCCCATCGAGCTGCGCAACCACCCAATCACTCAGACCCTCCTTTCCACCCCCTTTGGCCATCTCCCTCGCCTCAAAAGCCCTCGGCAGCACCATCGCCACATACCCTCCCTCGGCAAGCAGCCCCCCGTTTTCTTTCCTTTGCGAAACGGAAACGGCAGAAGAAGAAGAAGACGAAGACGAAACCGAAGACGACGACGAAGCCTCGTCGGGGGCGGCCTCCAGGCGGAGAAGACGGACGACCTCCTGAAGGGCGTGCAACCCCGCGTGCGGGTGAGGCGCGCCGCCTGCCCAGAAGGGTGAGGAAAGCAGCCACGGCAGCACCCCGGCGGCGCGCCGCCGACGGGCCTCCGCGACGGCCCGTCGCCCCCACCCCGATCCCTGGGAAACCCCCCACGGCAGGGTCTCCATCGCCCACCCATGCCCGATCGGCGGGTGATAACAGAGAAGATCAAACCCGTGTTCGGGAAGCTCCGGTTCCACCCGGGCAGCGTCCTCCGGCAGGATCGTGCGGAAGTGGCGGCCTTGACGCCAGGCCCCGTCCCGACGACGCGCCGCCGCGCGCGCGAACACCG